AATGTAACCTTATTTTAATATATCTACTAGATATTGAACGTATTAAATAAACAACATGATTTTCAAAACGCACTTTGTTCAGACATATGACTTAACAATAATGATCCAAACCATTGATAATTGACACTATTTGCTCGTTGTTTGATAGCATTTAAAGCGTCTAATATAATGCCAGGCTTTCCTTCAATACTTTGATACCACNTAGAGATTGTTTTACAGTGTGGTAAGCAATTATTAAATTCTTGACGTACATTCATAAGCTTTTGGTGAATAAGAATGTAAGGTTAGAGCAAATGATTTGAGTCAATTATCAAATTGTTTGTTTACAGATTTTCCTCTACTTTTTTGCAATTGTCTTTGTATTATTTTAGAATTTGGCCCACCAATATCTTGTAGTATCTGCAATTCTTCAGTCCTCAGCATGTTGTTTTTCCTGAGTGAGTTCAAAATTGTCTTCAAAGAGATATTTTTTGAATCTTTTCGTCGAATCTTCTGTTGCAACACTTTTATCTTTTTTACATAACCATTTTTTATATCCTGCAGCTTTTGGTTGAAATATTCTTCCTTAAAAGAGTAATCTGTTCTTTTTGATGACATACTTGTCGACTGACCCACAACTAAAACATTTTATAATTTTAGACATCTATTGTACATATTATTGAAAAGATTATACATATTATTAATAAAATTAAATATTCTTACAGTAACTGCATTCAGAAATAGGAGATGTGGCTCTATCTATTTTAAAAATTGGATTAGCATTTAAAAGTTGATTAGTTGTATTAGAACTTGATGCAATAATCTCATCATTTGGAACATCCGTAACCACACAATCTAAATAAGAAAACAATTAATATATGTATAGAGTATGTATTAAGATATACATATATATAGAAGTTGAATCTTGTAAGCTTGCATAATTTTATATATTATACACTAAATCAGAGTTGAGAAAATTACTTCATAAAAGTAACGTTGTTACTTATTATCAGAAAAAAGAATTCATAATAGTGACATTACAAAGATCACTTTTTCATAATAACTATGCGATACCTTTACATGGCACTGCCTTTGATCGAAGTCTTTTTATACCAAATGAAAAATTAAAATCATTTTTGGTAAAATGTGCGGAACAAATTCTAACTTCATTTGAGACTGATTCTAGTTTCAAGATGTCTAACCAAAGCTGTTTTACTTTTTTATTCTTTGGGAATCTATTAAAAAATAACACGTGTAACTTTAAATTATTTGCTTANTGTAATAATTACAATAATACAATATAATCTTTATATATGCAAATAAAATATGATCTTTNTTACCGGTGAAATGATATGTTATTTTTATATATATTTTCTTTTTTTCTTTCTCCACAAATTCTTCGCCATATAGTGCGATTTTTACAATTTTTCACAATGCACTGTGGCATTGTGCACTATATTTTGTATATTTTTTATTATTTAAATTAAGTATCTCGTCGTCAAAATCGGGATCGAGCAATATTATTAAACTTTTCTCTTCTAACACAGAGCTTTTTAACCAAGGACTTAACCACTTTCCATAACAAAAGATTAAGTTCCAGCGCATCGATCAGAGACCGAGTCGACGGGAACAACAACGACAGATTATACTGAAAGATACTGAAAGATACAATAAAATAAAATAGAAAAATATTTACGTATAGAACATAATATTAAATAACGCGTTAAATTCACGTACGTGTAGACCAAAAAGAAATTACAGCAAAATAAGGTATTGCACTTGCGCAAACTTTGCTTGAGTGACAACCAATCATTACTTTGGCCCCAAAAACCACGTGACCATGTTCCCCGCTCCCCTGAAGCGGCTTCGCCCCTCGCGGTTAATGCTCCGTCTCCTTATTCCTATGTCTATGGGTACTCCGCACTGTACCGAGCTGCCGAGCCGATAAACGGTCGAGTTTTTTGCGCATGCGCGACGAACGCACCGTGCGCCACGTTAAGGCCTGTTCTACAATACAGTCGTAAGCCGTAATTCGTAAGAAATTGACCAATTACAATCGATTATTCTTCTGTGATTTATCTGTGATTGGTCAATTTCTTACGACTTACAGCTTACGACTGTATTGTAGAACAGACCTAAAGCCATTGCATGTAGCAAAAGTTTAGACGAAGGCCTGTTCTACAATAGTCATAAGCCGTAAGTCTTAAGAAATTGACCAATCACAATTGATTATTCTTCTATAATTGGTCTGTAATTGGTCAATTTTTTACGACTTACAGCTTACGACAGTATAGTAGAACAGGCTTAATTAAAAATAAATTATTTATTTTATTTATTTATTTATTTATTTATTATATTTGTATGTTAATTTTATTATTTGTATATTCACTTGTACATTAGATATAATTTATTCATTTATTTTATTAATTTATTAATTTATGTTATTTGTATATTAATTTTATTTGTACACACTTGTATTTGAGTATTAATTTTATTTATATATTAATACACATTTTTATATTAATAAATCTCAAGAGCTATATGTTTTTTTAAAGTTCTGTTAAAAACTTGTCATAGGCATATTCTTTGCCTATGACGAAATTATATAATAATTTTATAGTGTTAAAACTTTGCTGACAATGGACTATAACTAAACTTCAGGACATATGTGCAACAACAAACAGAATTCATTATATTTGTGTTGTTGCAGTCATATAGCTGTCATGATGTTAAAGACGGATCAACATATCATCAGTTGTTGTTATATTGCTGACAACATAATATGCCAGTATCACTGATCGTTTGCTCTCGAAATTTCGTTAACTGATTGCTTGTATAAACACTCACGTTGCTGCATTCAATAGCGGATTCTACTTCAATGTTAGCAAATGTACAACAAACATTTAACAACACGAGCAGTGCATTACTTTGCTTTATATGATTAATCACACTTGGCTATCTGGGTACTTACGGTGCAAATTACAGCCAAGAGATTCAATGCTACGGCGATATTCATGATCGCTTTTTATTACCTGAGAGTTGGTTTTATTGACAGAAGAATTCGGCAAACTGATAAGCGTTTTTAATTGCGCCTTTTTATACACGATGATAAAATATCATTTCAACAGACTTTCATAAGAGGTGGCAAACAGATTATCAGATAAGCAATTTTGTTATCTAATAATCTGCGTTCAAAAACTTTTGATTTCGTAGATATGACGTCACAAATGCGCAATATTCGTGCACACTTGTCGACATGAGTAGTGCTTTTGTCACAAACAACACGGTAGTCCTTCACTCAATTGAAAGATACGCGTATCGAGAGAGAAAGAGAGAAAGAAAATATTTTTTACTCGATAAGTGAGCGAATTTCAGTCACGAGATTCATATCGAGATTTTATTATCGTTACGTGAAGCCTGATTAGAAAATTTAATTGAGATTAAAAAATGACTCGCTCGCTGACAAAATCGTTTTGGTTGAGTTTTAAGTACAAAAACAACCGTTTTAGTAAGCAGCCTTTGTTATTCCTCCCAACACGCGCACACTCCTGATAAGTACACAGGAATGTTCTAACTGGGTTGGAGGGGGGGGGGAGGGGGTAGATAGGGACACTATGTTTCAAAGAGTGCTGGACCAGTGATACTATGGATCGAAACCCCAGCCACTAACCCGTGCTGCCTGCCCCATGAAGGTACGCACAAACACTCACTCTACCTTCCGCTACGCCACGTCCCCGAGAAGGGCGATGAGAAAACCCAGTATGCCCGCCATTGCCCGCAGTTTAGCTACGGTCTTTGCTTGCGGAAAGTCAGAGATCTCTCGTAGAGCAAAGATCCGTACCCACGGGGAACCACGGGGAGGCCTGCGCACTTGCCCTCGAGCAACACATTTGACCTAGTTGAGCCGTTGATCCTAATGGTTCCCCTCGGCCCCCGATGGGGTCGTGCCATTTCTGTTTTGTCGTATTGAAGATTGCAGTTTCAAAAAAGAAAGAAAATGAAAGAGAAATAAATAGAATCCAGAGTAAAATTTTTTTTTTAGAATACAGAAGGTATCACTCTATGCAGCTTTTTAGCCACAGTGCTTCTTCATTGAAGTCTTTGAATATTTTGAATGCGTTTTCGCTATGCGTAAGAAATTTGGCTATCTGGCCATCGCCAGTATTCTTGCGGTATAACATCCTTGAGTATATCTCGCTGAGCGTCGAAGAGAGAACACTCTAGAAGATAGTGTTCCACCATATCTATCTCTTTTTTGCATGGACATGGTGGATCTGAAATCAGTCCTCTTTGCGTCAGGTAGGCCCGGAATTCTCCATGACCGGTTAGGGTCTGCGAAGTCCAGTAGTCGGGCTTTACCCATGTTAGATATTGACGTGCCTGAACATCTGGGAAGAAGTTATATGTCATGAGACCGTTTTCTGAGTTTGACCAACTCATTTGCCATTGTTGAATGGTGTTTTCACGAGCAAAGATTTTGATGTCTGCATGTGTGGCAGGGGTTACTTCCTGTCCAATTCTGACATCTGCACCTTGTCGAGCGTTAAAGAGGATTTTTCTTTCTTCGAGAAGAAGATTAATTGGGGGAATTCTTGCGAGTATACAGAGTGCATCCCAAGAGGTAAGACGATTTAATCTTGTTACCGCAAGTAGTGCTTGACGTTGTGCACTTCGAAGAATTCGCATTTCATGTTCTCCGCAGAGATCTGCCCATCCTGCAGCCGCGTATGTGATTGTGGGCGCAAAAAACGCCTTTATAGATAACCGCTAGAGGTCGATGACGTAATTCCCAAGAGTTTCGAGTTAGCGCACTTAGTCGATTAAATAACGGGCCTACTTTATTTCGAAGATATTGATAGTGAGACTTGATTCCTAGTCCTTGATCAAAGTGTACACCTAGATATCGCACGGTGTTTCGAAACTTTATGGTTCCGTTTCCCAGACGGATTGCTGGTCTCTTTGAGAGACGAGGAACTTTCTTTCGCGTTTTTCTAACCCTGTCCGGACGTTCTCCTCGTTCACCTCGTCTACCTATTGGCTTACGTTGAATAGCTTCGCTTTGAAGAAGGATTGCCTCTGTTTTGCTTTGCGACACTGTTAGTTTTGCAAACCTACACCAGTCGACTACGTTATCAACGACTTTCTGGCAGCGCTCAGATATTTCTCGGCTTGAATTGCCGGAAACCACAACTATTAGGTCGTTTGCGTATACGACGAATGTTGGACCGAAAGAAGAATTGAGATGACGCAATAGTCCGTCAAATACGAGATTCCAGCATATTGGACCAAGGACTGATCCTTGTGGACATCCGCGCGTGGTCTCTCTGATAATATGAAGATCTCCAAAAGACAGCGAGACTTTTCTGTTTTTAAAGTAGTCCTGCATTACTGCATAAACGTTTTGTAGACAGTCTCTTTCTCGGAGACTTTCAAAGATTAATAGCCACCAAACATTGTCGAAGGCGCCCGAAATGTCGAAGAGCAGCGCAATTGCGTACCTTCCCGAAAGGGAAGAGACCAGCCGTCGTAACTCGACAAGTGCGGCCTCCGCCGACTTTCCGGGCATAAACCCGAACTGCCGGTCGAAGATCTTTCCCGGAGCCAGTGACGCATTATTGAGATGATACATTAGAAGTCTTTCAAAGAGTTTACTTATTACCAGATAAGAGGCATATTGGGCGATATAATTTGGGATCTCTCTCGTCCTTGTTTCTGCTTTTAAGTAAAATTCGAAGAGATCTTTTTTTCCAAACAGTAGGGAAGACTTCCCATTTAAGGCAGCTATTGAATAGCCTGAGGACTTGTTATGGAATGATACTGCAGGCCGTTTTTAAGACGCTTACTTCAACTAAATCTGGGCCTGGGGCCTTTTTGTTTTGGAACTTACTAACGGCCTTTTTGAGCTGAGCTAATGAAAATTTGGGGGCGTTTGGCGTCTGTGGTTGTGACTTTGCTAGCGTACTCGGCGTTGTTCTGCCGAGTCCTCGAGCGCGTGGTCAACCGGAATGTGTGTGTTTAAGAGTCTATTAGCAATTTCTGTGAGGGATTTTGTTTCCGAAGTTCCAGCATGCAGAGTACTGAGTACTCGTGCAGTTCGAATTTTTTCTGCTTGCTGGCGGTACACGTACCTCTATGGGTTTTCGTTACCAGCAAAGTTACGCCAACCTACGATCTTAGTTTTTCGAATTTCCTTGGCATACTTTCTAAGAGATGCTTGGAAGCGTTTCTGATTTTCTACGAGTTCTGCTTGATCTTTCAAGTTTTGCATTTTGCAACGAAGACGATAGGTCGTCCGTTTTAGTTTATGCAATTCTTGTGTCCACCACGGGTTGGTAGGACGTCGAAGACTTTTGTAGGGCATAGATTTTATGCAGGCCTCTTTAATAGTTTCAGATAATGTTATTGCCATTTCTTCTACATTGAGTTTTGACTGCGGATCTAGCATTTCAAGTCGCTCACGCGAGAGATCCCGGAGGCATCCACCAAAGCGGATCCCAGTTAGCTCGACTTACGTCAAACCGTAGGGTCTCAGGAGACGGACCGTTCTCCATTGCTCCCCGCAAGCATATTTGGAAGCAGATTGTATTATGATCACTTGTTATCCAGCTTTCCCATACCTCCCAGTGCTTGATGAACTTGGCTATTGTTGGAGAAACAAGTGTCACGTCAATATTTGATGTGCCTTGCACTAATCTGAAAGTGGGTAGCTGATCAGCTTGATTAACAACGATCATGTTATTGGCGTGAATGAGGGCCTCGAGTTGAGCACCCCTCTCGTCTGTGTGCGGAGAGCTCCGAAGTGTCGATCTAGCATTAGCATCTATTCCTATAACTAGCTTTTCTCAGAGAGTGGAGCACCATGTCGAGGTGTCTGAGGTGTTTTTCGATATCGTCTTTGA